ATGAAGTTTGTGCCAATTCTTTTTTTTAAAAATCAGAAAAACTAATTGATTAAAAAGATTAGGCCAGAAATTTTTTCGACTTTGGGGCCGCCGGTGGGCTTTTTCACGCTATAATCCCAGCCAAACTTTTTTTTTTGGAGTCCACAGGCGGGCGGCAAAGCAAAAAACAGCGAGGGTGTCCAGGAAGTTACACAAGACCCGAGCCTGGAAAAAACCAACAATTGGGTGAACAACCCGCCATCCCTCCTAACCTTAAAAATGCAAAAAGTTTTTTTTTTTTACGCCGGCGTGGGTTGGTGGTTTGGCGCTCCTGTAAATCCCAAGCTTTAAACTCAGGAGGCCCTTGAAAAAAGCAAGGAAAAAGAAATCCGCGCGTGACACCCAGGAGGGCGGGGGTTTTTTTGCAGTGAGGCCAAAAGATTTCGATGACCAACAGGCACTGCAAACTCATCCTGGGTGGACAAATTAACAAAGAACTGTTTCCTTTCCAGGAACAAAAAAGTTCTAGAAATTTATGAAAAAAAATTCTTCCTAAAGCTTTTCAACGGAGGAGTTCTTGCAATCTCCTGGTAAGGAAGAAAAAAAAAAAAAAAAAAAAAAAAAAAAAAGGCAAAAAAGGTGGCAGTTTAGCTGTTCAAACAAACCTGTTTTTCCAAGTAAACTTTTTTGGGAAAGCTTTTTTTTGAAATGTTTGGAAAAGGAAAAATTCACTGGAAAACCCAGGAGTTTTTTTTCTTTTTGAAACGGAACCCTGCCGCGGTGGGGGCAAATATGGGTTTTCAAAAAAAATCCATTCTTCTCTAAAATAAAAAAAAAATTTTAAAAACAAATTAAGCTTTGGGTGGGGTGGTGGGGGACAAAACAACACCAAGCGAGTTGTTTTGGAAAAAAAAGGACCAAAAAAGCGCTTGGCCAAAAACATAGTGGGGAGGATCCCAAATTCTTTACAGGGAAAGAAAAGAAAAAAACAAAAATTTTTTTTTTTTTTTTTTTTTTTGTTTTTTTTTCTTTTCCTACCTAGTGGGGGCCAGCTTTTCTTACCTTTGAAAGAACGGGCGTGAAATTTTGGAAAAAGGAATTTTTGATTTTTTTTAAGGCCCTGGGAAGGCCAGAACAAGTTTTTTTTGCAAGTGGAAGCAAATTGATTTTTTGGTTGCCTAACTTTGCACTCCAAGCCTGGGCAAACAAGAGGGACTTCTGCGTGGCAGCAATCACCTCGCCATGTAGCATCTGCCCCTTTGAGATGAGAGTAGTAGGTACCACTGTCCCCAGCTGGTTCATTCACTTATATTGCCTGCTTGAATTCTGTAATATCTGAATTCATGACCCCTGGACTGGGTCGTCTCTGAGATGTCTTCCGATTCTAAAGTTATACAGCTGAAAATTACCCTATAATTTATTACCTAGGACATTTTTTCCAACAGATTTCTTCGAGAATTTAATCATTTTTAAGCAATTTATATCTCATTGACTTGCTTTGTCTTTTTTTTTTTTGAGACAGAGTCTCGCCCTGTCGCCCAGGCTGGAGTGCAGTGGCGCGATCTCGGCTCACTGCAAGCTCTACCTCCCAGGTTCAAGCAATTCTCCTGCCTCAGCCTCCCGAGTAACTGGGACTACAGGAAAAGCTAACAGTCTCATGATAGTTCATATGTAGGCTACACAGCGCAAAATTAATATATATGGCTATAAATAGACAAAGCAGGCCAGGCACGGTGCTCAACGCTGTAATGCCAGCACTATTGGGAGGCTGAGGCAGACAGATCCCACGAGGTCAGGAGAATCGAGAGCCATCCTGGCTAACATCGGTGAAAGCTCTGCTCCTCTACTAACAAATACTAAAAAATTAGCCCCAGCCGGGCGCCGCGGTGGCTCAAGGCCTGTAATCCCAGCACTTGGGAGGCACAAGATGGGGGCTGGATCACAAGGTCAGGAGATCAACGCATACTGGCTACAGGTGACAAGCTCACGTCTCTACTAAAAACTCTACAAAAAATTAGCCCGGTCGAGTGGCGACACCTGTAGTCCCCAGCTACTCGGCAGGCTGAGGCAGGAGAATGGTGTGAACCTCCAGGAGGCGGAGCTTGCGTGACGCTGAGGATCGCGCCACTGCACTCTCAGCGCTGGGGCGACAGGCGATGACTCCGTCTCAAACAAAAAAAAAAAAACATTAAACTGGGGGGCGTGGTGGCCATCTGCGCCTGTAGTCCAGTTACCTCGCGAGGCTGGAGGTGGCAGGAGAATTGCTTGAACCTGGGAGGTAGAGCTTGCAGTGAGCGAGATTT